CTTGCTCGGCCCGGGCCGCTCGGGTGTAGACGCGGCCGCCGGTGGGGAGAAGGGGATGAGGCCCCGGCTGGGCCCAGGAAGGTCGTCGCGCGTAATGGCTGCCCTGGTCATCGCCAGGCCCCACTCTCGGGCACCGAACACTGGGCTTCGAACGAGGGGCAAGTAGATTAAAGACACTGCAAGGCCTCCGTTGCCGCAGCGAATAGCCGCAGGGACGCCCTGGGCGGTCGCGTTTGCCGAGGGAGCGGTGGTGGGTGGCTTTGCGGGGCTCCCCCGTGCCCCCGCCGTTTCAGCCCATCGCACGCGAGCGTTGGCCCCGCGAGCCCGGCAGGTGTGGCCGTGGTAATGCCAGGGTGCCGGCTGGGAAGCCAGGGTTCAAGCCGAAGGCCCCCCGGGCGCGGAGATTCAAGTCTTCCTAAGGTCGGCTGAACACAAAAGTTACTTGAAGAGACCATGTTCATTTCTGCTGTTCCTGTTTTTGTAATAAAAATTGTACATCTGGAGAAAAACTATGTGACGCCACTTCTTAATATCTGTGTGACTCTGTCCAGATCCTGGGCCTTTTGAGCCTGTTTTCTCGCCCGGACCGGGGATAATTGCCTTGTCGTTGTTCTTGGAAACAAGAGAAGCTGCGTGTATGCCTCAGTGTTGTAGATTGTGCCAACGTTTCCTCCAGACACGTTTGCCTTTGGCGCTTCGGATACACAAGTACCAGACAGTACAAGCACATCAGTTACCACTTGATTTACAAAGTAAAAATTGTTTTGATTTTTACACTAGGAAGAAAATAGTTAAACTGAGAGGACCAGAAGTGGAATGTTTTGTGTTTCACAGTACAGCTAAATTTGAAAGTGAATTTCAGCACAGCCACTTAGGAAGAATGTAACATTACTTAGTGAAGTTGAAAATGATCCAATATTTCACTTAAGCTTTGTACTAACAGGTTCTGAAGCCTAGAGAAAGCCACATGTTGCTGTGTACCATAGCATTGTTCTTAATATTGGAAACAGCCCAGATGTCTGGGGAAATTGTGGATATTTGCACAGTACACTACACTACAGACGTGAAAAAGAAAAAAACTTGCATCAACCTGGGTGACTCCTCATACCCGCAGTAAAGAAGCAGGTCGTGGAAGGGGAGCCCCTGCAAGGGTGGGTACAGCTGCGCGAGGGTGCGAGCAGCGAGGGAATGGCCCGAGTCCAGGTAGTTCCTCATGTTGAGCGTTGACTTTAGAAATAGGCTCTTGTGGTCTTTTAGGGTACTGGTAACCTTGCAATTCTTTTTAACCGGTGTTTGGTTTCATGTTTCCTTACACCATAATCTATGCTTTAATAATAAACATGTTTGAAAGAAGGACACCAATTGCGCCTCCATATTTGAATTTCAGGTGACCTTTTTTTTATAAAACCTTGCTTTCAAACAAGATGAGATTATAAGATTTGTATCCCCTTTCTATCTTTACCATGGAATTTCTTTATAATTTAAATTTCTGTTTTGCTCTCAAATGAAGGTTAGAGCAGAAATTACTTTTTTTAAATAGGGAATGAGTGAGGTTAGTGTATACACATACAGATGTGTGTGTTTAAACTAGCATGGTTTTACATGATAATGTATACATCTTCAAAGCTGAATTTATTGCAAAGCAAAAAAAAAAGTTAAATGGTGGCTCAAAGGGCTAAAAACAACCTGTAAAAGGCTCCTGGAGATTAAAATCAGCATTGATTACCATTGTGGATGGTGGCTTATTTTAAAAGATAGTATGTCTTGGGTAAACAGCAAAGGCAATGAGGAGGGAGAAAGGCAAGATGGCTATCAAATAGGAAAGCACTCACTACTTGGAATAAACTTTAGCAGGAACTTGACTTTTCATGAGTTACATTTCCTCTGGATCCTTAGTTTAAGGTAGAGTACTGTGGTTAGAAATGTTTTAGTTGGTTGATTTGCAAATGAGACAGGAAGTAGTCTGACTTGAAAGTCTTCCACGTGGAGCCTTGAGCTTAGGGACTTCTGGAAGGCTCTCACTGTTTGGTTATGAGGATGCTGTCCCTGCAGTGAAGCCTGAAGTCTTACTGGGTCAGTGGGAGTGAGTGGGGTTGTCGATTCCGCTTACTGAGTATATATACCTAGTGTTGGAAACCATATTCCCTACCAGCTAATCTTTATATTTGTGTTTAGAGAAATGTCTGACCTGAGTTCTAAGAAGACAATGTCAGGCAGTTGAAGCCCTTTAAAATTGTTAGTCAGCTGTTGCCTGTCAATTAAAAGTAGAACCATTCCTAAGGTGATGGTTTGAGTGGGGGGTGAAGTGAAAAGGGAAATTAGATTCACTGTGTTTATAAGGAGTAAGGAAATGGGAAGAAAACATTGTATACCAACAGCTCCCACACTTCAGCAGGTGCAGAAGTGGGTTGGGGTTCTGGGAAAGGAAGAATGCTCCAAGTTGAGCTGGTTACCAGAGTTATAATCCAGTTGCCGTTGACTTGTGAATCTTGTAAGGACTGATTTTAAGTGAGCTGGGTTTGTAAATAGGGAGACTTATCAATGGTTTCTGTAGCAAAGTTGTGGTTTGGGGACAAGAAGCTGTAAGGTATAAATGGAGATAAAGAAGTCTTTGTTTTGGCTACTCAGGAGGGTACACTAAAAGTGACGGCTGACCCACCAGCTTTTCAGGGGTCCTAATGGTTTTTCTTAGACAGTGAAGGTGGTCAGGGGCTGAAGACGCTGTTTGAAGGGTGAGGCAACTTGCTGGAAGTTACTTTTCTCCCTGTCCAAAATCCTGCGCTTAATTTAAGCTTAAACTGATGTCTTCCCTTATCTGTCTGTCTCAGTATTATACAAGAGTCAGAGACTTGTTTTCATTCATCTAAGTATCTTTTGCAGGACTTAAAACTTGGTACATAGCTGATAACCAGTAACTGTTGGTTGAATGAGTACAATTATGCTAATTTGACAGTGCTTTTCTATGTTGGATACTATCTTTAAGATGACTCTAGTCCTTTCATCTGAAATGGATGGTGGTAGTATTTCAGCTTTTTATAAGAAGCCTGAGAAGCAGAGAAGTCAAATAATTTACTCACAACCACTGCGACAGACGCAGAATTGAATTAAAACCTTTTCTGATTGAATTGTGGTTCTAGACTCTGGTTGTGACTCCTCTGATTTGTACCTGTAACAGAATTGCTGGGTAGCAAAGGAAGTTTTATGAACATGTTCATCCCTTCAAATAAGAACTGAAATATGAAAGAGGCTGGTAGTCTTAAGATGCCCAAGTTTTTCAAGGTTTTTATGGTATGTGGGATAGTGTTTTAAAAATAACTAATAAGGTGGTGGGTGCAGAGGGTTAAAGTGCAGCACAGGTGTGTGAAACAGACCTCTCCAGCCCCGCCTGCTGCTCCCCTCAGCAGTGTATTTCAGTGGGTCTACCTGTCCTTCCCACAATGTCTCTGGTGAATCCTCTCATCCCCCACATCTCTGGCCTGTACCCCAGCTCTTGTATGCATAAATAAATCTTTTTTAAAAATAATAAACTAAAACTTCAATGTTTCTAGGTTTGGAGCAAGAGGAGGTGGCGGCGGCCTTCCCCCAAAGAAGTTTGGTAACCCTGGGGAGCGTTTGCGTAAAAAGAAGTGGGATTTGAGTGAGCTTCCCAAATTCGAGAAGAATTTTTATGTGGAACATCCAGAAGTGGCCAGGTTGACTCCAGTAAGTTTGGGAAGTTTTATTTACCTTTTTTCAGTACACAACAGTGAGTCCAGTAGACATGTTACATGTTTTATTCTGGTGGAACTTCAGTCTTACCAGGACTACTGATACCCATAAGAGCATCATGTAGATACCGGTGTGGAGCGCATCTCACGGGTAGGCTCGCTTCCCGGCTCGCTTCCCAGCCCGCTTGTCACGTGATTTTAATTGGGTGTATGAGGCTGTGTCTTTTCATCTATGAAATAAGTTAGAGTCAATATATTGGCAATGATTTCTCTTGTTGGTCTTTTAAGCCTAATAACTTGTATTCGTTTTCCTCCATAGTATGAAGTTGATGAACTACGCCGGAAGAAGGAGATTACAGTGAGAGGGGGAGATGTCTGTCCTAAACCTGTGTTCGCCTTCCATCATGCTAACTTCCCGCGTGAGTGTTCTCAACTCTGTGTTGTTAATTTTTCGTTGGATGGGAAATGTGGATAACAGGTTATTTAAAGGCTTGACCCAGCCTCAGGATCTTGCCATAAAGAGGAACAGAATCCTTTCACAAAAGTCACGGTGTAATTTAAAAAAAAAAAAAAGTTCAAAGCTAGAAGTAAATATTACATAGGAGATTTTTGTAATGCTCATCTATTTTCTGAAATAGGCTTTTTTTTGAGAGTTTTTCATTTTTTATCTCCTAGGGTTTTGCTTTTTGTCTTTTAGAATAGAATGACACTACTTTCTGGCTGGATGTTATTTGAATTTGGCTAACTGTGACTCTCCCATGCCTTGCCCCATTAGCTACTTAGAGGTTTTCAGCTTTTGTGGGAAAGGGGAGGTGACCGTAGTGGCCCAGTGCGCTCAGAAAGCCGTGAATCTGGGTGCTTTTCGTTTTCAGTGAACTTGATAGTGTTTTAAAACGCTTGGCTAGCTCTTATTTTCAGTAGTGTCTGTTCTCTTGCAGAGTATGTAATGGATGTGCTAATGGATCAACACTTTACAGAACCAACTCCAATTCAGTGCCAGGGATTTCCTTTGGCCCTCAGTGGCAGGGATATGGTGGGCATTGCTCAGACTGGCTCTGGGAAGACATTGGCAGTAAGTACCCACAGGAAAGGTTCGTTAACATGTGGCAGCTTGTTTTACTATTATTTTTCAAGGTTTATTTGTATCTTATTTATATCTTATATATCTGCATATAAGAACTGGGGTGTCGGCCAGAGGCGTGGGGGTGAGGAGACTCACCAGAGACAGAGTGGGGAGCAGATTAGGCGGATCCACTGAGATGCACTGCTGAGGGGAGCAGCGGGGAGACAGGAGAGGTCTGCTGGCTGGGGATTGCACTCAGGTCACAGTGGCTAGTGATAGCTTGATGGCGCTGTGTCTTTAACCCCTGAACCACCAGGGAGGCCCTTATTTTAGTATTTTAATTAAAGAATTGTCTACGGTTCTGACAGTTCATAGAGTTGTCATCCAGACAATGTAGGTAACGCAGACTTTTTGGGTATCTGGCCGAGGTGGAAGCGCACTTGTGTTCAGACCCACGTCATGCGCTGTGTGGCAGAGAGCTGCTGTCCAGGCTTTCCCCAGCGCCAGGTACTGTCAGCACTGGTAAGGTGATGGCTTAATTTTGGTGTCAGACTGTCTGTCTTTCCTCCCCAGTATTTGCTGCCTGCAATTGTTCATATTAACCACCAGCCATACTTGGAAAGGGGAGACGGCCCGATTGTAAGTTTCACTTTATTTTGTTTGTAATTCTAGGAATAACTACTATTTAATGACTTGTGGTTTAGACCCTGCTTTACCTCCATTTTCAGATACCCTTCTCAAGCCTCCCTCATGTCTGCAAATAGCCTTATCCCCTCTTACCAGTAATTTTAAACATAGCGATTAAATGACTTACTTGAAGTCATACACCTATTAAATAACTGGGTTTGACTTGAACTAATACTACTTTAAACTACTGTGTGTGCATGCTCATATATAGGCAAATAAATTCAAGTGCAAATCTTACTGCTCAGTGATGCTGTGGGGGATACAAATGAAATAAGAGATCCATTGCCCTGTGGATCTGAGTCTGGTTTGGGATTTGTTGGACGCTCCTGATTTTTCTTTGATGAAAATTTTATTTTTAAGATTTATTTTTATTCATACATGCAAGAACTGGGGTTCAGGCCAGCGGTGTGGGGGTGAGAGGATTCACCAAAGAAAGTGGGGAGCACAACAGGCTGAGTGACTGGGATACACTGCTGTGGGGAGCATTGGGGAGACAGGAGGGGTCTGCTGTGCCCTGTGGGTCCCTCATTGGCTGGGGTTCGAACCCATGTTGCATTGGCTACTGACAGCTCGATATTGCTGAGACTTTACCCCTGTGCCTCTAGGGAGACCTGGGATTTCTGTTTTTTGTGGTGATTTGTGATACTTTTGTTAATATGTGTAGAGTAGCACAGTTTTCTGATTTGGTTTTTATAATCTGTCGCAAATATTTGCAAAAAGATGAATTCTGCCTTTGTAACATGTAGTATTTCCTGTGGCTAATCGTTACTCTATTGCCTTTGCAAGTAGTTAGTGGATCAGTTCTCAGAACAAGGTTCATGAATATTGTGTTCAATACCTATTTCAGCATCTTAATTTGTTTTGGCTAGCTATTTGTATCAGCTCTGCTAATCATCATTTTTTACTAATATTGAGTCCATGGTTATGCTGCAGAAATATTTGAAAGCCACTGTTCATTTTGAGAGAGTTTAGGTAAAAATCTGTAAATCCACCTAATTATAGCACACATTAACTATATGTCAAAAGTAAACCAACAGTCTCCTGATTTTGCCTTTGATGCACTATTCCCAGCTCCACCTCATCACATCCTTTGAAACTGCCAGATTTCAAATAGAAAAATAATTAAATTTTTTTTCAGCTTGAACAAGTAATTCAAAAGTTTTTCTGTGGTTTCAGTGTCTAGTTCTAGCTCCGACCAGAGAGCTTGCCCAGCAGGTACAGCAAGTGGCTGATGATTATGGCAAATGTTCTAGATTGAAGAGTACTTGCATTTATGGAGGTGCCCCTAAAGGTCCCCAGATTCGAGACTTGGAACGAGGTAATTTTTTTTACTTACTGTACAAAAATCGTTTACTCACTTTACCTGTTTTTATGAATGAAATTTCAAAGTCGTGGATTTAATATTTTAGAAGCTTAGAAATTCTCAGGTGTGTTAAAATTCTATTTTTGGAAAGTACACCAGGCTAGAGACAAACTTTGTGGTGATTTGAGGATTGTACATAGTTGTTCTGTGTTGTGTTTTTCCACATGCTATGTTCGTACAGTTACCAAAACTTGACGGTTTTGTTTGCTGAAGCCTGGATTATGTGTAAGAGGTCTGGCTGACTAGATCTTTGGTTTTCTTTTACAGGTGTTGAAATCTGTATAGCTACCCCTGGACGCCTGATAGATTTCTTGGAGTCAGGAAAGACAAACCTTCGCCGATGTACTTACCTTGTACTGGATGAGGCTGACAGAATGCTTGATATGGGTTTTGAACCGCAGATCCGTAAAATAGTTGATCAAATCAGGGTGTGTAAAGTTGTTGATAATGCCATCTCTGTGGCCCTGCTAGTCTCATTTCCTCTTCCTAAAAGAAAGCCTTTCCCTCTGTCAGCCTGACAGGCAGACGCTGATGTGGAGTGCGACCTGGCCGAAGGAGGTGAGGCAGCTGGCAGAGGACTTCCTTCGTGATTACACCCAGATCAACGTGGGCAACCTGGAGCTGAGTGCCAACCACAACATCCTCCAGATTGTGGATGTCTGCATGGAGAGTGAGAAGGACCACAAGTAGGCATGATCTCACTCTTGACCTGGATAAGACTGATAAACCTGTCCTAGTAATCTTCCAGAAATTAAAGTGTCAGAGAAGCCACTAGTTTTTTAGGCTTTGAAGACATACAAGCACTGCTAGATTTCTATCTTTTGTATTGTTTTCAGAACAATGTGGATAAAGGCAAGGATTCTGCATTCTTGAATTGGGATCCCTGCCTTGATAATTATGCCATATAGAAATAAATGTTAAAAGAAAGCGCGTTAGATCTTTGAGGACATTCAGAATTTCAGAGCTCACTTTTACATACAGTGTGCAGAAAGGTTTCCCCTGGATGACTGTATTGGTTCTGTTTTCAGGTTGATCCAACTTATGGAGGAAATAATGGCTGAAAAGGAAAATAAAACCATCATATTTGTAGAAACGAAGAGACGCTGTGATGACCTCACTCGGAGGATGCGCAGAGATGGGTGCGTTCAGCCTGCGTCATGACTTCTGGTTGGTGGGGACTTCCTGAGTTGGTGCTAGGAATGTTAGTCTCACTGGTGCTTACTACGCATCCTGCTGTCTAAATGGGCACAGTCTTCTATTCATATAGCCTAAGCAGTCTTACACCTACATGTGATAGCGCTTTTTAAAACTTAGTTTTCCTCTTTTTTTAAAGAGTTCTAAAATGCTGTCACTTTTTTCCTGACAGTTGGCCAGCTATGTGTATCCATGGAGACAAGAGTCAACCAGAAAGAGACTGGGTGCTTAATGGTGAGTTCAGAACTGAGCAGTGTTCCGTGCTCAGTCTGAGGGGTGGGCAGACTCCTTGTAATGGGCAGATGGTAGATATTTCAGATTTGCCTGTGTGTGGTGGTTTTTGCTACTATGCAGAAGCGACCATAGTCAGTATGGTCTTACAGGACCTGTGTTCCAGCATGACCTTATCTGAAAAATACAGTATGCAAGGTTAGGCTAGAGTCACTTAGCTCTGCTTTAGTAAATTGAATGATGGGCATTTTTGACATACCTTCATTCTTGAAGGTCACTAATGGCTGGTCCCTTCCACATTTTTAGTTAAACCACCCTTTATTTAATAAGTCCTTATCTTTATAGATAAGTTCTTCAACCAAGACGTTCCTGAAGCCCTGTACTTTTGGAATTTTTATGCAAGCTTTGTCATGTGGGCCTGATCATTAATTCATCTCCAGTCCTCCCTCCCATTGATACTGGAGCTTGGGACTGAAAGTGCCGAGCTTCTAATCACGACTTGGCAGTACAGTGAAGAGCGCCCATACAGGAGCTGTCTTGAAGCCACATCTTGACTACATGTCACCATTAGAACAAGAGACATTCTTACCATCCAGGAAATTCGGAGATTAAGAATAAGTGATTCTGGTGGTGCAGGGGTTAAATCTTAGCACTATGAAGCTACAGACAGCCACTGCATCACGAGTTCACTCCCCAACCAGGGATCTGACCCATATGGCACAGCAGACCTCTCCTGTCTTGCTCACTGCTCACCTCATTGTATTTCAATCATTCGGCCTATTCTCCTCCCCACTCTGTCTCGGGTGAAGCCTCTCACTGCTGGCCCCTCCTCTGGCCTGCACCCCAGCTCTTAAAAAAAAAAAAAAAAAGAATAAATGATTCTCCTGGAACCTGTATTTACAGGGTTTTAGGAGCTCTGCCAGGAACTTGGGGACAGAGACCAGTATTCATACATACCTTAATGACTGTACACCCCGGGGGCGGGAGTCGTGTGGTTTTTCTTATTTCACTTCTCTTAAACTTACTCCCCACACATATACACACTTGGTTTTAATTGTTTCATTTGGGAGATCATTCTGGTATTAACAATTTGGGGGGGAAATTCTGGCTCATGTTAATTTTGTTACAAATTGGCACATCATTCTAATGGGACTTGATTGTCAGAGATAACCGACTTTATTATTAGAGGTGACCAATTGCCCCCCACTACGAGTAATTGTAACAAGGATTTTCCCTAGAATTACTGTTTCCTTGAAATTTAAAAGTTCTTGCATTTTTTGATACTTACCTGAAGTTTTTAACACGGTCCTACAGAGATAGCTAGGAATATTTCATTTGATCGTTTCAGAGCTTTAATTGCTGAGCCTTCATTGCAGGACTTGACTTTGAGAAAACCGCTTCTTATCTTGCAGAGTTTCGTTCTGGAAAGGCCCCCATCCTCATTGCCACAGATGTAGCCTCCCGCGGGCTAGGTTTGTATAGAGGGGCGTCTCTGTCAGTGGCATGTGTATCTTCTGGTTTAAAGACTGTCATTTCAAATTAGAGTTGTATATTCGTGTGTTTAGATAATTATTTAAAGAAAGAATACAAAGTGTGATTTTTTTTCCCCCAAAAAATTTTTTTAAACCTGGGGGTTTTTTTTTTGTTTGTTTTTTGTTTTTGTTTTTATTTTTCTTTCGTTTTCAAAGTCTCTTCCTGCTCCTAACAAACAGGCTTTGGTCTGCAGCAAGGCCTAGGCATGACTATTTAAACAGAGGGCGAGGAGACATTAAGTTAAACATCTCACCTTCTTCCTGATTTTACGCCATTTCTGGTTGGGTAGAATGAAACCGATTGAACCTAGCTACTAGAAACTAGTTTCTTCAGTTACTCTTTTCCAGTCTCTATGCTAGGTATACATGTGAGGGTCCAGTTCTATGAACGCTCACCTATAAATTTCTGGGATATGATATTACAAATACTGTGTCATTCAGCCATTAAAGGATGTGTGCCCAGTTTTATTGACTGAAGTAAAATTGTCATGGACTCTCGTGATCCCTCCTCTCATCCGTGTGAACCAACGCTCATGTGCTGTTTGCCATGTGAGAGCTAAGTGTGACGCTGATGTTCTTTTGGCGATTGCAGTCCATTGTGATGTAAGAGATTTTTGTGGTAGCTTTAGCCTATTACTGAGCTAAACAAGTGTAACTCACAACTTCTGTTAAAAGAGATGGGATTATTTCTCTCGCAAAGAAATCTCTAAATTATCGACACGTATTTAATTCTTACCCAGTAAGGTGAGAAGCACCATATTCCCTCTATAATATTTGACATAAAATTAAAAAATATTCAAACTAGAATACGAAAGGAATGGAGGCTGGTTACACACTGCACTCCTCATTCCTTCCTTCAGAGGTGGTGACCGCAGCCATGACAGAACATTGTCTCTCCCCTCGGAGGTCATGTCTGGATCTGTGCAGTTAGAACTTGGGCCTGTTGGGAGAAGAGGCTGAGGCCTGAAAGCAGTTTATATAAAAAAGCTTTCAGTGATGGTGGTTTTTAAACAGGCTTGCTATGTGCTGGTAGCTTCTTTGTGCATCTTGCCTAGACGATTAAAAATATTCGTTCCATGTCCCCTGCATTTACACACCGAATCAATTGGCTGCCATTAGAATGACTTAGACTCCTCGTCCCACCCCCACTCGTCCGAGTGAGGGAGAGGGAAGGTACCTGAGTCTGTTTCTTGTTACTCAACACCAGTGCTTGATTTGGGCCCCTTTGTTTGCTGCCTTGTAAAAATCAAACGGAGGGGGAAACCCACCAAAATGGCAGACTGCTGACCAAGGTCCTACAAGATCCTGGAAAGTGAAGGCTTCTACCTCATAGACAGGGGTGCAATTTTCAGCTGAGTCACCAGGCCTTTTTTCACTTCCTGTCCAGCGATGGCCTCTTTAATGTTCCCTTCAGGTAAGTTCTTTGATTCCCATAATTTGATAATAGTCATCCTCAGGAAACCACTATTTATTCCCTCTCCATTGGGATTTTTTTTATTTTTCCTTTTTTTCGTTTAAACTACACACTGTTAAACTAAAAGTATTGAATTTATTTTGTTTTGTTTTTTAACAGAAGCTTTGATATCAGCTGCAGATCACTCAGTACATGGCTGAGGCAAATCTACATTGGCCCGAAGCAGCTCTAGATGAGCCTGTTGGCTGCTCTCAGTCCCCCCCAATTAGTGAGTGGAGATTCAGGCCATGTCGTAGGCTTGCCAGGCAGAAAGTTCTCATCCTAGGCAGCTGACCTAAAACATTAACTTTTCAATTTCTTACCCTGCTACAGCATCTTCGCTAAAGACAGCAAGATCATATTGTGGCAGTGCCAAATAGCACCAGGCAGGCCTGACTGGAGAAAACCAGATTCTGCGCTTGCTCCTAGGTGCCCTCAGCCCGCTCTGTGTGCGCACACACAGGACACCTTTCTAGTGCGAAGACCTTGCACCCTGTCTGCCCCCCACCCCACCCCCAGTGAGCCCTCCAGAAATACTCCCAAGTGTTAGTGTCTCAGCCGCTGACGCCAGTGCCCAGTGTTTTCTGCCAGGACAGCGCGCCTCTGCCTCCAGGGCAGTAGCTCGACTTGCTCTGCCGCCCATGCGTGTGCGTAATGGGACTGACTAAGGAGCATTCTCGAGCTCTGAAGAAGCGTCCTGGAGCATAAGGCCCCGCCCCCAGCCCAGGCCCCCCCCCATCCTGGCCCTGTACATTTTTGTTTTTCCTTTGTTGCTTCAACGACCCAAGCCTGAGACTCACGCTGCCCCCTGTGATAACTGCCTTCTCGTCTTTCTGGTGTGATTTCAGGACTTTAGGGGTCAGTAAAGACTGAGGAGCCGTTACTGTAATAAGAAACAGACATAACGCCCCTTTCTTCCCAGGCCCTTTAACAACAGCTGAATTTTTTTTTTTAATCATCTTCCCCTTTCCCCTTGAAATTGATCCAGTCTGGGCAATAGATGCAGTCTGACCCTTTGGATGTAACTTACATTTTTAACTTTTTTCTACAATCACCCCAATTATCCTTGGGGGAGGCGTTGGAGGACCTGAAATTTTTACCCGAACCCAGGTTCTCCGGCGCTTGGCAACCAAATGGGGCTACAGAGAAGCATCTAAGCCAGTTCACAGAGCGAGCGTGTGTGGGGCCTTCTCACTGCCACGGACCCTTGATGCATGCTCCCCGCGCTCCAGAGGTCCCGTGTCAGAAGGCGGAGTTTTCGAAAGGAGGCCGCCAAAAATAAAAGGCAAAGAGACGGGATCGGCTGCAGCGGTTTCCCAAAGGAGGAGGGAGTGTGCATCGGTCTGGTAACAAACAGAGAATGTTTTTTAATTATTTATATCACAAAAATCTGTGTTTTATCTAGGATATTTTCTGAATATTCTTTGTAAAATGCAGATTTTTTTTCCACAAAACATTAGGATTCTTTGTTATGGTCTTAAATTTGTTTGTTTAAGTAGGTAAAAATAAACAGTTAGCGGAAAGCATTACACTAACATTTACATATTTGAAGCTGTAGGAGGTTATTCGACCCATTTCCCAGCAGTGGGCAAAGCACTGAACGTGTGTCTCAAGGTTTCCTGGTTTTCCCACACTCTGGCTACTTACTGAATTCCCCAGGCAACAGTCTGATAATTGCAGCAAGTGCTGAGTTGAAATGACCTTGAGTGAGCAAAACATCATCTGGCAGAGCTGGGCTTGTGGCACAGTGAAATTTTAGTGTAATGTGCTATTGTGGTCATTGCGAGGGGAAAGAGCATTTGGGTTTTCTATAAAGGAAACAGGTGTGTACTTTAGCTTTGATCAGTTTCGTTAATGTAAGAACAAAGTCATTTGAAAAGCTGTTTGACTAAGTCTCCTTGAAAATGTAGTAATGATAAAGTGTGTGAAGTTTCTTTTTTCATTTTGCTCTGTGACTGGTGGAAAGGTAAGTGTGTTCTGTTACTGGTAGATTTTGCCAGGCTTCTCCCAACAGAGTAAAAGTGATTCTGACTTTGTGACTGTGGTGGTCACACTTCTCTGTGTTGCAATTCTGAAGAGGATGGAACTGGAATTTGCTACCACACCTGCCAGAATACTCCGAGGAGGCAGGTGCTTGCACGGTCAATAGGGTGCCTGAGGAGGTCCCCGCTGACTGAGATGCCACGTCGGGCTCACGTCCCCAGAATCGCTGACCCCTTTTACTCTGTTGGGACGAGTCTGTCTTTGTCGCTGTGCAGAGCGGTGACTAACTTGGTCTTCTCTCCTCTCGCTGTCACCTGCATTCGTGCTCCCACCTGTTGTGGCGTGTCTTTACCTCCTCTTTCCCGCCACGTCAACCTGCCTGCTGCCTCTCGTTGGCCTCGAAGATGTGGAGGATGTCAAGTTTGTCATCAACTACGACTATCCAAACAGCTCTGAGGATTATGTGCACCGGATTGGCCGCACGGCCCGCAGCACCAACAAGGGCACCGCCTACACCTTCTTCACCCCGGGGAACCTGAAGCAGGCCCGAGAGCTGATCAAGGTGCTGGAGGAGGCCAACCAGGCCATCAACCCCAAACTGATGCAGCTGGTGGACCACAGAGGCGGCGGCGGCGGAGGGGGTAAGGGTGGGTCCTGGAGTTTTCCAGAGACTACCGAGGTGTCTTTCTGTGTTCTTTGTGTGGTGGTGTCATCGTGTCATGGTGTTTTAAATCCTGTGAGGCTTCTACACTGCTCACTAGTGCAGCTCAGCCCCGTCCGTGCGCCGCCAGCTTCCTGACGACGGCGGGCCTCGCCCGACTGCTCCCTGGTAACACACAGCTGCCCTGCGTTTTTTGAAGCATGTGGTGCATGTTCAAAAGTAGGCTTGAATCTGGTTGCTGTGACTTCAACAGCCTTGGTGTGGGAGCATTTCCAGTTTTTCAGATGGAGAGACCAGTGGCTTACATGCTTTCTGGTAGAAACTGGCAAAGTTGCTGATCTGGACATTGGACAGTTCGAAAGCACGCAAGGGTCTAGGCTTTTTTTTTTTTTTTTTTAAGATTTATTTATTTGTACAGAACTGGGGTACATGCCAGAGAGATGCAGAGGGTGAGAGGGTTCACCAGAGACAGAGTGGGGAGCAGAACAGGCAGATGGACGAAGTACACTGCTGAGGGGAGCAGCGGGCGGGTCAGGAGAGGTCTGCCACGCCATGTGGTCCCCTCCGGGGCAGGCGGGGATCGAACTCATGCGGAAGTGGCCTTAAGTGGCCTTAAGCTTCTTAGTGCTGCGCTTTAACCCGCTGCGCCCCCAGGGAGGGCCGGGTCTAAGCTTTTTAAAGTGGCTTTACAGCTGAGGTGGGAGCCTGGGCTCAGGCCACGAGCTTGCGCTCCTGGTGATGCTGCTGGCCCTGCTTAGCTTTCCTCAGGTGGTTTTTTAACCCTGGTAAGCCGCCTAAACCTTCCCACCATCCATCATTTCTCTGTGTTTAAGACTATGTTTTTTGCCAGAGATGAAGAAAGGACCTAACAGACTGAAAAGATAAATGTCCTGTCAGTGCTTACCATTCTTTTGAATCTGCCCTGTTAAAGAATCAAATTTTTTTTGTAAAGTACTGCTTTTTAAAGGGTGGCCTAGCAGAACAGAGAGCACGAAGCTTTTGTGTCTCGAGTTTTTTTGTTTCCCTCCCCTTACCATGTTCATCGGGAGAGACTGTCACCCTGAACGCTCACGTTCTGTAGTTCAGGAGCATGGGTCAGTGACCACTTCATGGGCGTCAACCTAGAGAAACCCCTTGTTCCAGAATCACTTCGCGTGCTGAATAAAGCCTGCCTGCCTTGGGTTATGAGTCTGGCTGTGTAGACGCCTGTGCCTTCTTCCGTGGGTTAGCCACCTTTGCAGACTTGGCGGAAAGCTGCCACGCTGGGGCCATGCAGAGCCAGGCGCCCGTGGAAGGCTGGCCTCCAAGGCTGCCCGGAGCCCCGGGTCGTTCTCAGCACTGACTGCCGCCAGGCTCCCTAGGAGAGCTGTTACGTGTGCTTATGTTGGGCTCCTGTGTCTGGCATTTCAAGTCCCTTCTCGCTCCCATCAGGAGGTCGTTCTCGATACCGGACCACTTCTTCAGCAAATAATCCCAACCTGATGTATCAGGACGAGTGTGACCGGAGGCTTCGAGGAGTCAAGGATGGTGGTCGGAGAGACTCTGCAAGCTATCGGGATCGTGGTGAAACCGATAGAGCCGGCTATGCTAATGGCAGCGGCTACGGCAGCCCCAATTCCGCCTTCGGGGCGCAGGCCGGCCAGTACACCTACGGCCAGGGCACCTACGGGGCAGCCGCCTACGGCTCCAGCGGCTACACGGCCCAGGAGTACGGGGCGGGCACCTACGGGGCTGGCAGCGCTGCGGCCAGCGGCCGAAGCGCCCAGAGCTCCGGCCAGCAGTTCAGCGGGCTGGGCCGCTCTGGGCAGCAGCCGCAGCCGTTGATGTCCCAGCAGTTCGCACAGCCCCCGGGGGCCGCCGGCATGATAGGCTACCTGGGGCAGGCCGCCTACCAGTACCCGCCGCCCCCGCCGCCCCCGCCGCCCTCGCGCAAGTGAGCCGGGGGCTCTGTCTGCGCCCTTTCCGCTCTCCCCTCTTCTTTTTTCTTTTTTATTTGCCCCAACCATCGTGACTTGTCTTTCACACATTAGTTAGAATTCACTGCCAGGTTTCTTCTGCCCGCCAGCTGATCCATTCTGTCACAGATTTTGTAAAAACTGCGCATGCGCGCACACACACAGCCACCGTTGTGTGTGTGTGTGTCTGTGTGCGAGAAATACACACGTGTCTATATATAGTCGACTGGAAGAACTTTTTCCCCAACTTCTTGCATGTTGAGGATATCTGAGCTATTTTTCATCTTAAAAGAAAAGTAAGGTATTAGGCCGATGTGGGAGCCCATTTTTTCGTTGTGGTCCTGAGTTGCGGGGGGTGGGGAAGGGCGGTGGGTTGAAATCTGCAGAAGATGGCGGCATCTGTGCTTGACAGGGTTCTCCTGCTGGGTTAGAAAACTGAAGAGGGCGTTCCCATTCCATTTCCCACGATGCGCTTTCATGCTTCTCAAGCTGGAACAGTTCTCCAGGCCTGATGAGTTTTTAAGGCAGTGCTTTGCCATTGTCTTTTTGGCTGATAACCTTGTTAAATGTTTTTGACAGTTTTTTTTTTTTTTATTCTTAATTGGCTTTGTCTCCCTTACACTCTGCCTTTCCTCTTCCTAGTTACCGAAAATAACCATTTAGTGTCAGATTAGAAATTGAATTGCTGAGTCTGAGTTTTTAAAGTATCTTTTAAATTAAAAACTCCAAAGTTCATTGCAAAGATTTAATGTAGCATCTCAGCATCTGGGTGGAAACTGCCTATTTTTCTTCCCTGTATAACCAGGGAACATGAAAATGTGAAGTTCATTTTCTAGCCAGGCAGCTGCTGTGAGCAGAATCAACATAAATGCTCACTGGAAATTTCCTCTCTTAACCAGTTAAGTATATGTTCACCTGCGGTATAACCGCCTTTAATTATAGACAGTATACTCAGTGGACAAGTTTTCTTTTTGAACTCAGTATATGAGAGCTAGAATAAAAGCAGTTCTTTGCCGGCTACTCAGCTCTTTGGCCAAGTTACCTTGAATAAAGGCTCTTAAGGGTGTCTTAAGACAGAACTCTTACCTTCATCCTCCGGTCTCTGCAGTGCTTTGTAGCAGCTTCTGGGTGCGCGTCTTCCTCGGCATCCATCCTCTTGCAGTCAGCTTTTGACAGGTAGGTAGTGCTTACAGAGACAGAAGGTTAAAGCCCAGGTCCTTTTCTCTTTCCTTCATCTAAAGGTAGGTGAGCTTGCCCCCTGCGCGGCGATTCTGGCTTCCAGGCAGACTGTAGCAGGCGGCCTGGGAAAGGTCCGTCTCCTGTCGCCGTGAGAGGGCAGGGAGGTCGCAGCCCAGAGCCCGCGGCATCCTGCGCGGGGCGCCGCCTCTCTCGTGTTGCCCCCGTGTGGCTGGTTCACGAGCAGAGGCAAGGTGCCACTCGGGCTGCGGCTGAGAGTGCTTTTGGTTTGTACGCTCTAAATACCTGAGGGTTTCAGTCTTTGCATTTGAAGTTCTTCAGGGCTCTGAAAGTCTGGCTGAATGTGCCACATACAGGTAGGTTGTGAGCACGCGCAGAAATCCGTGCATGTAAAACTTTGACATCTTTCCCCCTCCTGTTTTCTTTTTTCTCACTTCCCCCTTTTTACATAAACTGAGGCTGAGGGAGGATGGTAGGTGCAGACGACTGCTCTGTGCTCTCAAACCAAAGTGTCCCCTTCCCCATCTGTCTAAGCACTGACTGCGTGTTGTAGGCATTTCTTCTGGGCAGAATTCTGGGCTTTTTGTTGCTGTTTTAAACCAGAGGGGGTGTCCTCCCTTACAGGTCTTCAGAGCTTCCCTCTGTGGGTCTCTGGGCAAGCAGGGGCTATCTGGTCTGCCACTTGCTTCCCTTTCCCCTCGGGGATGCTGTGGTCATGAAATCACAGCAGTAGCAAGCCCTGTATTTCAGAAGCTATTGTGGACTGAACACAGCTGAAATCTAGTGGTTTCCTGTGTCGCTCTCTAGAGTAGCTTCCTGCCTCCACGTCTTTCCACTCAGATTCAGGTCCGGCCTTCGCTTCAGAACTTGACGAGTCCTGTTTGATGCTAACTATTGCAGTCAGTCACGGTTGAAACTCACTTAGGGAAAGGATTCCACTCTCAGGCCGTGGGGCTGCAGCCCCGGCCCTCCCTAGCTGTTCATGTGGACTTCTCTCATCTGAAAGGTGGGTGGCTCTCGCTGGGTCAGTGCTCTCTGTCATGTCCCTGCGGGTCTCTGAACACATTCCTGTTGCATTAAGACTTGAAAGATTCGTAGATGTGTGATGAGCAGCGCAGGATGCTAAGAGCTGTGTTCCTATTCTTGGTTTGTAAATTGTCCTTTTGATACCATCTTGTTTTCTTTTGTAGGTATAAATAAAACACTGTTGACAATAAGGTGTGGATTTTTTATTGCTTAAAAACAACCTTGACTAGGCCAACGGCAGGCAGTCCCCTTCCCCTTCCGGGTCTTCCTGGGTGAGGCCCGAGGTGGGGGGTGTTGGTTAGCACCAGAAAATGGGGAAAGGAGGGCCATTGGTCGTGAGGTGGGGTGGGAGTTCTCCAAGCAACAAGCCTAGTGGGCTGTACGCCCCCAGTAAGCAGCCCTCCTGCGGTGCCCACCTAGGCCAAGGCGTGAGTGTGTGCTGGGCCAGTGCAGCCTGGCACAAGCCCAATGGCTTGAAAGGTAAGGGAGGGCAGGAAGCCCCTTTGCCTGTGGCTTCAAGGCCCATGAAAAGTGAAACAATGTTGCACCTGCCAGATAGCACCTTTGTGTCCTCTAAAACCGGTCTCTCTGGAAAAGCAAAATCCCACTGCAGTGTTGGCCTGATCCTGAGCTGCGCTGTCCCCCTGGGGCTGGGGCACGAGTCTCACCAGGCTGAGGGGCCGCTGGTCGGTCGGTGGCTCATGGGCTAAGCACCGAGGTTTCCATCGGCCTCGCGGGCAGCGCAGCGTGTGAGCCCAGCCTGGCTCACGTGCGCACCGAGCGTTCATGGGGTGTCCTGCTCACATGGGGTGGAGGCTGCGTTGAGTTGCCTGGGAGAACCTCTCCAGTGGTTTGCGCCGAGTCTGGGTGCAGGCGTAGGACATCTGGGGGTCCTCAAATCGGCATCGGGAGACTTAGCTTCTTTCCTTTGAGGACTGGAGGAAAACGGGCGTGAGTTAGTCCCAGTTCTCCTGAGGCTGCGTGGTGCCCGGCAGCCTCTAGTGTGAGGAGCACTTGGGCTGAGTGTGGGCTTGCCCAGCTTGGTTACAGGCCGTGCTCTCGGCCTCCACGCGGCGTGCCCCCCCCCCCCCGTTCCCTCGGCTCATCCTGTCCGTGTCCCTGTTCGCATGACCGACCTCGATGTGGACGGCTTGGCCTGCCCCGTAGCTGGCGGGGGCTGCTGCCCTGCCCCAGCCCCCCCCCAGCCGGCAGTGGGCTGTGCGCGGCCCCTCCCCGACTGCTCTGGCAGCGCAGCGCACACCCGGCCTGGCGGGAGGCCTGGCTGGCCTGGCTGGCTGCGGCCGAACTCAGGTTCGGCGTCCTGACCGCACGAGCCTTTCTGCCCTCCAGCAAGGCCAGCTGCTTCCTGCCTTGAGCCTGCAGAAGCCGCTCTCCCAGCAGTGTGAGCTCCAGTTTCCTGAGCAAGAAGGTCTCGTGCCCTCTGCAGTGCTTGCACAGTGCCCGGGACACGCTGTGTTGTTCATGGCCCTTCTGAAAACATCTCCTGCTCCGGAGCGTGACTTAACTCCCAGGCCAGTGCCGCAGCCCTTTCCTGGCACCTACCTTTGGTCACATACAGGTAAAAGAAGTCGCAGTAGAAGATGGTTTGTACAACCCCAGACACCACAGCGATCTGGTCGTAGAAATTCTCGGTCTGGTACCGCCTGACCCAGTTAGCCAGGTAGAGGGCCCGGTACAGCCCGAGGAAGAACAGGTAGTGCGTGGTGATGGTCTCGGCCTCGCCAGTCTTGCTGATCATGAAAAGCTGGGGCAGGATAGCCACCGACTCCAGGTAGATGGAGAAGGTCCAGAGGATCTGCGGCGGGGGAGACCATCTTTCAGTGACTTGATCCCTGGAGTAGGCTTGCTGGAGACAATCTAGTGACGTTAAAGGCTCAAGATGTTTGCCCTAGAATCACTGCACCCCTCCCAAGCTCCCCAGCACAGCATGACATTGGTCTGGAATATAAACTTTTAACCTGCCTGAGGCCTTGGGGCTGCCATCAGAATCAGAAGCGTCTTGCCTCACAGATGATCAGACCCTGGCTGGAGCCCCACTGGACCTAGGCAGCCCTCACTGCCCTCGGGGTGCTCCTGTCCCGGCCTGAAGCCCCATTGCATGGAAGCCTCTCCAGGGGCCGGAGGGAGGGAGACGGGGGGGCAGGCTGGGGTCACTTGCTCGGTGTCCCCGGCCTTACCTCCAGGGGCGTGAAGTTGTAGTTCTCAAGGAAGGAGAGGCCGATGACGGGAACCAGAAGAAACTCCAGGCGGAAAGTGTCGTTCTCACTGTCGAAGGTCTTCCGAAATTTCCCGTAGATCATATACACTGTGACGTAGGCACAGAGGAGGAACACCACCTGGAGGGCAACACGCGGGACCCAGAGTCGCCTCCGGCCTGTGCTGGGCTGCAGGCGCCCTGGAGGGCCCGTTGGGTTATCTGTCATCCCCACTAGTGTGTGTTCCGGGAGAACAGGAGACTGGGATCCTCGCTGGGCACACAGCAGGTGCTCAATTAACAGGTGTTGGGCAGACGGACAAATCAGTTCTCTGAAAGCGCAGGTCAGCAGGGCGACCTGTCACTGACCGTTTACTGTGGCAGCGACTGTCCCCATGTACTTGACAGCAAAACCCTCTGAGACACCTGCTAGAATTCTCTTCATTGTGCAGATGAGGAAAACGAGGTACATGGGTCAGAGGCCTTGCCCATGCCCGGGCCCCGGCTGCTGAGCAGTCCGGCTCCACAGCCCGAGTCCTCAAACTCTGTCTTGGGGAGCTCAGCAGGCCCCCCCGCCGTGGCTGTCCGCCCCCCTCACCTTCATTACTGTATTGTAGATGGAGATGAAGTTGGTGAACAGGTCCAGGTACCTGGTGGTGAAGACGAGAGCAAAAAGGACCTGGCTCTTCCCGGAGATGCCTGTGACCAGAAGGGACAGGGACCGTGAGGCGTGGCCCCGAGCCCAGTCAGAAAGGTGTCGGGGCGCACAAGTCACATCACCTGCTCTGGGAAAAGCCCCCCCGGCCTCACTGCAGACCCTGCGCGCTCAGACCGCCCGCTCCCGCCACGCGGCCTCCCACGCCCGGTGCTGGTGCTCTGTCTCTGTTGCTCTGGGGAAGGTGCCGGGGGGCTGGTGGGGGGCAGACGAGGCTACTCTTCTCTCTACCTGAGTCCCACTGACAGTTCTCAAACTCCATCCTTGGGGAAACAACCCTCGGACTTGACCGGGAGCGGGTTTACCAGGGAGCACGGGCAGCCCGCACGCCCATCGGGCAGGCCCGGGAACATTCCAGAGGGTGCTGGGGTCACATGCCAGCTTCCTGCCCGCACAGCAGCCTGAGCCTACACTCCCCATCTATAAAATGGCCCCACAGATGGACAGACGGACAGACAGGAGGGCTTGGCACTCTCAGGCTTGAGGGTGGCAATGGGGCCGGCTATGGTAAGGACCCAGGGCCAGTTCTGGGCTAAACCTGAGGCGGCACAAGCTCCCTGAGGCCTCGGCCCCGCTGAGGAGGCCCCAGGACTCAGCCCTGCGCCCGGCTCCTCTCCCCAGGCTCAGCCCGACAGGACCTTCACTCACACCCTCCTTAGCGCCTGGATGGTTCCACGAGCTTGAAGCAACAAATTCCCACCAAAGCAAGTCGGCCCTGAAAAGCCAGGGCCGAGGAGACGCCAGCCGGGCCCTGGCCAGAAGCCCGAGGAGACGCCGGCTCCCGGGACCCAGCGGCAGCGCAGCCTCTGTCCGGTCTGACCGGGGGAGGGGCCCCCTGAGATCCAGGGCAGCGCAGCCTCTGCCCTCGGCTGGGCGGTGGGTCACAGCAGACCCTGCTCCTCGGCGCTGCCAGGCTAGCACCCCTTCTGCTTTCGCCTCCTGAGACCCCAGCAGACCTGCGCAGATCCTACCCTGCTTCAGGTCCACTCCTGAGCGCCCTCCCCCGCCCCCACACCTTCCCCCAGCCCCATCTCTGGCCTGCCAGACAAGGCCAGTCCTCCACTGGACCACCCCCCCCCCCAGATTCCACTTCCACAGGATCATCCTCAGTGGCACTGCTCACCCCTCCCAGGCCAAGCCTTGGCCTCCGTCACCTCTGGGCTTTGCACCCTCCGGTCCCCACATAGCATGTCCCCTTCCTGGGGACACCCTGCTGGCCCGCCAGCACCCAGCCCAGAGCTGCTGCTTCCAGGAAGCCTCTGGGGTCCACGCTGCCCCCTAGCTTCCTGTGCACATCTAACTCCAGGGCAGCCCCTCCGGGCAGCAGCGCACAAAGCCCTGCAGGCCCCCACCCCTAGCAAGGCAGTCAGGGGGGCAAGCGGGGGAACCCCGCTCTCCTCCATAGGGGTCTGTTCACCTGGGCAGAGCTGTGCCCCTTCTGGCAGGTCACAGCCGCCTCTGCCAGGCTCAGGGAGCAGGAGGAAAGCTGACCCAGCTTTCTGGACTTGGGGGGTGGGGGGCGCTGAGAGGGCTCAGGGGAGAGTGGGGTTGGGGAGGGAAAAGACCCTGTGGGCTGGCACACTTCCTGTGTGCCCACCCTGGCCACCACTGCCCATGCTGGCCCTGGGCCTGAGCACACGGGGACAGCAGTGGGGCCTCGCGGGGGTGTTGGTCCAGGGGAGCCAAGGTAGAAAGGGGTGTCACCTCCCCATCCCCGTCCTCTCCCAAGCAGCGGGGCTGTGGGGGTGGGCAAGGCACAGCCCACCCTCCCTCCAGGAACCAGGGGGCCTCTTGGACCTTGTGCCTTTTGGCATTTTTTTTTAAAGCCAGTTGTGCAAAAGGTGTCAAGTCCCCCCAAGCTAGAGCTCCCACCCAGAACACCCAGCACCCCCTGCCCCATCCCTGCAGGCGCCCCTCACCCGCGCAGCTCTGGGACCTCCAGATCTTCCCCAGCAGCAGGATCATGGCCAGGAGATGGCTCAGGTCGCCCAGGATCCGGAACACGTTCATGGCGCTGCCGGCGGCCGGGCGCCCGCCAGCCAACTCCAGGAAACTTGGGGCGAAGCGGCTGCCACGTCTCCGCGGCCCTGGGTCGTGCGCTCCCGCCCGGCGCGCAGCCCCGCC